GTATTCTGCAAAATGATAAATCAGGATAATTCGATGATTGGAAATAGATATATTATTTATAAAAATAATAATTAGAGTAGAAACTAAACTATAATTTCTGTTTTAAATGTCAAATTATATCATTTTTAGAGTTGACTTCTATGTTAGAAGTTCAAATCTTATAAATAACTTTATTAATTAAAATATCAAAATAATTGATCAAAACAGAATTCAGGCTAAATAATTTCCTTATTTTAAAATGCAAAAATTTCTAATCATGAAATTTTGAAAACCATAATTATAAGATTATAACTAAATTGACTTATTAAAACCTTTTAAATTAAATTTTCATTAAGGTTTGTAAATAATTGATAGATTTCATTAATTAGAGGTATTAAATAAGCGGGATCAATTTTTATTATTAAAATTCTAAACAAAAATATTCTATGATAGATTTTTTTGTATAATTATTTTTAAATAATTTTTTTAAGCTTCTTATCATACAAATCCTGCATAATTTTAGATTTCTTACTGATTCTAAATATTTAATGTTTTGGTTACAGAATTTACTTTAAATTTTAAAATTTCTTAACAATTTGATGATTTCTCATCCTCATAATGTTTCTAATGAGTTGATAGTATATTAATTTTTAAAACTTAAACTTATTTGAATAAAAAATCTTATGAAATAATAAAATATGTATTGTGCGAATAACCTTAAATAAATAAAATAAAATGAATTAGCAAGCATAGGGATTTAAGTTGTATAATTCTAATCAGAATAATGAAATAATTAATAAAAGAAGGAAACTTAGTTTTGGAAGTGAAGGAAGTGATTCAACTGGAGAAAGATTAAATGAAAGCTTTAATAGGTTAACATTAAGTGCTGGAAATCCTTAAAGCTCTTTCCAACCATTTGTGAAGATTCCTATTACTTAAATAAAGCCACCAGAAAGACCAATAACTTAACCTTCCTTGATGATGGGGATTTAAAAATACCTAAGATTAGGGGAAGATTTAGAAGCAGAAGATCTCTTAACAAAACCTTATAATGATCTTTAACAAATCTAAAATCTTTAATAGTTATCTCAGTAGAGACTCCATTTTATTCCATTTGGAATGCCAGCTAATTATGAAAAATTAATGACAGAGGTATAAAATGTTTTAAAAGGAGAAATTCAAGTAGAATAAGAAAGATAAAAAAGAACTATTGATGATTTCTTGATTGAATAAAAACTATTGAATCCAGGATAAAAATTAAGTAAAGAAGAAAGGGCAGCTAAAGTAAAGGCATATTTAGAAAAAAAACATAATCGTTTATGGAAATAAGTTAGGTATATTATTTGTTTGATATCTTTAGATACCCAGTTCGCAAAAATCTTGCAGAATTCAGAGAGAGAGTTCAAGGTAGATTTACAAAATCTGAGAAACCTAGATTTAATTAAAGTTTAATACTATTAGATAAGGAAGAACGTAAAATGGAAACATTAACTAATTCATATGCTTGATCTATTTTTATTTAATCTATATGAAAAATTATCAAATATTTTCATGTAATCAGATCGTGTTTCTATATCGTTTATTTGAAATTTTTATATATTCCCTGTATTTGAAGTGTAGTTTTTAGCAAGTAGCAACTTATATAATAGATAGTATGAGTTATTTTAGATTCAAAAATCATTTGGAGAGTATTTACTCATTGGTTCATTATGTTATATAATAATACATTCTTTAATTATTTAAAATGTATAAATTTTTCTTTAATAACAGTTTGAATCAGGGTATTTAAATGAATATAAAGATTGAAGCTAATTGTGAGTATTTAAATAATATTTGTATTAGATGTAAATGAATTTTAAAATGTATATGAAATTCACATTTTATTGAGAGAATATAATTTTTAAATTGAAAAGAAGTAAAATATATTTTGTCTTACTTAAATTTAAATTATTACACATTTTGATTAAATGAAGAAAAATAAAAATAAAGAAAAGAAAATATTATATTATATTATATTTTATGATAATTTGTGTAAAGTAAAAAAAAATAAAAGTTCAATGATAATTGTTAAGTATTTTATTTTGATGAATTTTAATGATAATTGATTGATTATTTATATAAATGCAGTCATTTAATGATGAGCAGTCCCACTCTACAACCTTAGAGCCATCAAAGTAAGTTATTATATTGAGTAGATCATTCAAAACAAGAGCTATATTTGATTCAATGGAGATTTCAACTAAATAATTCTATATGTTTGATAATGACACAGGTGAAATAATCGACTTAAGAACTTCTTAGATAGTTGAATATGATTAAATCTAAATCTAAAAGGAAAATGCTTGGTAGGATTTTTGGAAAGAATCTCAGTTGAAAACTTTTGAGCTGATTAAAGCATGCAAATAAGGTTAGTTTTCAATTGTAGAATCAATAATGTAATCTTCAAACTTTATAGATATAAATGCTAAAGATTCAAATGATTAGACATGTTTACACTTTGCTTGTAGTTCTGGTAACTTTTAAATAGCTTATCATTTAATATAAAAAGGAAGTTTGGTGGATGATTAAGATTGTGATGGATGTACTCCTTTGATGGTAAGTGTAAAAAACAATCATATAGATTTAGTTACTTTATTACTATATAATAAAGCAAATGCTGACACATAGGATTTTTTAATGAACACACCACTTCATATAGCTTTAGAAAACAATAGTTTAGAAATAATAAAAAATTTACTTAAATATAAAGCTGATCCCTACATTTAGAATGCAAGTAATCTAAATGCCCTTTAATTAATATCAAATACAGATTAGTAATAAATATTCAAATTATATGGATATGAAAAACAAAATGTTGGAGAAAGGTTGGTCTAAAGTACAAAGGAATCTAAGGATTTTAATGCATCCTATCGTAAAAGTTTAAGCAAAAAAATGAAATTTTTGGGGTAATCGGTTCCAACTAATTCTTTATAGAATTAAAATTATCAGGCACGATAATCTGTGGTTCCAATAGGTGGTAATAATATAGGACCTGATTCCTTTACTTATCATAAAGAATTAGGAAAAGGTTCATTTGGTATTGTTTATTTAGTTAAAAAAAAAGATGAGTAAAATAGTGTATATGCAATGAAAGTTTTGAGAAAAGAAAAAATAAGTTAAAAATTATTACCATATATTTAAACTGAAAAATCTATATTATCTGTTATAGATCATCCTTTTATTGTTAAATTACATTATGCATTTTAATCTTAATGCAAATTATTTTTAGTTATGGATTTTTGTCCAGGAGGAGATTTAACTAAACTTTTAGATTTAAAATAAAAATTACAAGAACAAATAGCTAAAATGTATACTGCTGAGATCATTTTAGCTATTGAAGCTCTTCATTAAAATAAAATTATGTATAGGGATTTAAAACCTTAAAACATAATTATAGACAATAAAGGTCATTGTATGTTAACAGATTTTGGTTTAGCTAAAACAGATATAGAAAATGAAGATACAAAATCGTTTTGTGGAACTCCTGCTTATATGGCACCAGAAGTTGTAAATAAAAAATTATATAATCGTTCAGTTGATTGGTATTAATTAGGTACAATAACTCATGAAATGTTATTTGGTATGCCACCATATTATAGTCATAATAGAGAAGAATTATTTGAAAATATCAAAAATAAATAACTTAAATTCCCTTAAAATAATCTATCGAAGGAGGCTCTTTCATTTATCTAATAAGTAATATCGTATATAAATATCTTCAGTTATTGGAGAGAAATCCTTCTAAAAGACTAGGGGCTAAAAAAGACTCTGAAGAAGTTAAGGCTCATCCTTGGTTTTAAGGAATTAATTGGGATGATGTAATGAATAAAAAATTACCTGTTCCTATGCCTAGTATTATGAATCAAGCTAATCAGACTATTCAAGTTAATTTTGAAGAAGATTCACAAATTCAATAAAAGAAAGCTATTGATAATTGGACTTTTATTTCTGATTGATTATTTATAAATAAAACTATGGAATATTAAATTATGCTGCTATGCAACACATTAGGAATATGAATTTTTGTGATGATTGTCATTTATCATTTAATTGGTACCAAAGCAGATAAGAAAACATATTGATTAATATTCATATTTCGTGTCCAAGCCTTACTTTATGATGTCCCTTTGTAAATATAAATTATTAGCTCTGATTTCTTTACTCTAACTTCTTTTATGATTAATTCAATAAATTATTTATTGAATCCAAAGTTCCCAAACTCCCATCATATCTTATTTAATCACCCCATAAAAAAGAAGCTGTTTCTTATGCCTTGTGCAATTTATGCTATAATACTAATTAATCATTCTAAAAAATACAGTTTTTATTTATTGGATCTATTCTTTCCATTCTTGCCTAGTATTTCTTAACATCATCTATTTGAGAAAACTTATTTTATATTATGTAACTATACCATTCCTTATATATCTAATTTTTTCTAATTCCCTGATGGAAAATATTCAAATTTATTTAACTTACTCAAAAAGTCTTATTTCTTGCTTTGATTTTTTTCTGCATGTTATTTTTACATTTAATAAAATGGAGTTTATTCAATTCCAATACCTGGAAATCTAACATACTAACTTTATTTATCTAATACTTACTTCCTTGTTTTTCCCAGACTCATTTATTTTTTCCCAAACTTCCTTAGTTCCATAAGCCTTAAAGGGATTAATTTGGTCCTTTTAATTCATTTATAATTATTTTATAATATTATATTATGTTCAATACTAGAATAAATTCATTAAATATATTTCTTGTTTTAAAATATTAGCTCAACTATTTTTATAATTCATTCTTAAGTTCTATAAATAAATCTGAACCATTTTTTACAACTTCATTAATTTTTTTTAATTATCAATTATATAATCATTATCTTTAAATAATCAAAAGATTGTTCTTTTTTATAAGTAAAATTTTTTAATTTTGATATATTTCAAATTTTTTTATCATTTTCAAAAATGGTATCTTATTAATCTTAAGGAATAGATTTGTTTAAATATTATTTTTATTAATATTCAAGAATTTTTTTACTTTTGATACTAAATATCTTTTAAATAAAAGTATTTATATAAAAGATTTAATAGTAATGATATTGATAGATAACTTTGTCATAATAAGTTTTTTCATTAGAGTCTAAATGAGTGGTTTTATCATGTATGGATAAACACTGAATTAATCCCTAAATGAATTTAATGATCTGTCGAATAAATTCATTAATAATTAGAATGGATGAGTATGATGAGTATGATGAGTTTTCTGATAATTCGATTGAAATAGTGCTAAATTAGTTTTAGGGAAAAGATTCACATCAAATAGAAGAAAATATAACTGTGTACTTAAAAAATTTGGGACTTAAAATGAAAACTAACCCGATGAAAAAATAATTGAAATATGAGAAGGATAACAATAAAATTATTGATATTCTAACTTCAAAGACCCTATCTTCTTATGGAAACACTTTGAAGGAAACAGAAATCGATTATTTATAAATAATAAGGAAAAACCCTCTTTTGCTGAGAGGTAAAAAACAAAACAAAAAATTAATCGTGCAACATACATGAAGCTTATTATATGATTACCTTTTATCACTCTTTTAAATAAATTTTCTTGCTTATTTCTTGTATTGATTCTTAGCTTCCTATTCTTTATCAGTTTTTTCATAATCAATTTTTATAATGCTGTTCTTTCAATTTCATATTTAAGTGAAAAAGGAAGCTTGAACTAGTAATATTTGTTATGAAAAATTGTTGTTACATTATATTTATATCTATTAAATATATACTTGAGTAAGAAATAGTATTTCAAAGTTTTAGATTAGTTATTATAAATATAACATTAGTATTTAAATACACATATGATAAAATAGTGAAAAATTTAAGGTAATATATAATAAGCGTCAAATCATGGAAAATTCCCTACATTATAATTTTCTATAAGCTTCATTACATAATTAATAAAATACTTAATCTTTAATAATTCATAAATAATCATTAATATTTAGATCCTGTTCTATTGTTAACTTAAATTTTTTCTGTTAATTAGTCTTATAATCAAATTCTTAAGATTCCTAAAGAAGCTAATTTATTTAGTCTTTTTTCTTAATGTGAAAAGTCTATTTAAATTATAAAATTATAATTTATTTTCATAAGATCTCAATAAAAACAGTGTCGAATTTATATTTATTAAGTAATATAGATTGAAATTTATCATTTAAAGATTACCTTATGTCTTAATTTTCATAAGAAATTAATGCATTACCATTGAAATAATTATTTTCTTGACTAATTAAATTTATGTATTGGGAATGAAGCAAATCTTTATAATTTCTCTTTAAATTTTTGCTTTTTTTCTTTTTTATATATCTAAAGATGCAATAATAAAAATAACAAGAAATGGATTATAATTGAATTTATATTTTTAAATAAATATGAAAGAAATTAGTCAAAAATATAATAGGAAGTCTAATTCATAAAAGAAGGAAAGAATTTATTATTAATTGTTTTATAATCAAACCCATCTATTTGTAACTGCATCATAATTTAAATGAGATTTTCCTCCTCTTAATAAATTAGGTCTTTTAGGTAATGCTAAGACAGGACAGATGTTTTCATCTCTTTATTTTTCTGTATAATCCATTTAATATGTTGAATTTCCAATTTGACCTGGGTCTCCATTTATATTACGTTAAAGTGGGTCTCTACATTTATCTTATTTATTTATAGGTTTAGGCACATATGAAGTCTAATATGTAGTAGATCCAAAATCGACATTAACATTAGGACCATCTTTTACTAATGGTTTGAATTATTCGCCTCCTCCAACAGGTTTCTATATAAAATCTACTCCATAAGTTGTATTCCATGGCACTTGCCTAGGAGCTGATTTATATGGCTACTTTATTACTGAACGTTTCATTGGCAATGGAAATCTATTTAGTAATTAATGTACTTCTAATAATTAGTTTAATAGTCTGATAAAGTATTAAATGGTTAAGAAGGTGCTATTTCAGGTAATTATTTTATTTCTTTTTCTGGTAAAGGCCTCTAGATGTATTCACTTTAATATTAACTCTTTAAAGTAGATGGATCATATGAATGTAGCTATGGTTACCTATCATAATTGAATGGCTTTTATTTGTTTGATTTCCATGGTTAATAGTCTCGTCTAGGTATAAAAACAATATAAATACTAAAAGGTTGATTAGAAGTCACCATTCATATTATCTGTGTGAATTGGACAATGATGTTTTCCACATTTACATATTTCACATACGCATCTGTTATGAAATTGGTTTTATGATTATGCAATCTTAGAAGAATGAAATAAGGATTTGATTGTATTATTAATCATTAAATAATCATTGCTATTACTTCTATTCTTTTATTAAATTACGCAACTCTTCAGATTGTTTTTTCCAGTTAGGATCAAGAGGAGCTTTTCCTTATTTCTTTTATAGCTACTTCTCCTTTATTTAACCTTGTCGTTATAACTTTTATTAATCATTTGACACTATCCTAGCTTGTTTGGAATTAAATTCTTATCTTTTTTGTTGAAATACTTGTCTACATACTTTTGTATGCTTTTCTAAAACATCTTATTTAAATTGCCTTCCACAACCCTCTGGACAAAGTATTAATTCAAGTTCTTCAATTGGTTCAGCTTCCTCTAATTGTATTACCATATACAATACCAAGTTGTTATTACACTTTAGTCTGATCAGCAACAGCTAGTTTGTTTTCAATTGCATTTTTTGAACCTAATAATGCTGCTTCACGTTTATTCTAAGAACCTATTGATGGATTATAAGAATCCGCTTAAGTTTGTTTACCCTATTAAACTTCCTTTTTTTCTTAAGGTTATTATGCTTCCTTCTTTTCAACTTATATTTATTTCCTAAAAAGCTCTTCTTATCCAGGTAAATAAAGTCCTTGATTAAGGGGAGCTGTATTTTTCTTTTCATCTGATCGTTAGATTCTATCTTTTAGAGGTACTTTCTCTTAAAATGACCCTGTTTTAAAGAAATCTTCTTTAGTGCTTGTTAACTAAGGTTCTTATTCTTATGGCTGAGTTGAGCGGTTGCGAATATTGAAAGATGGTTTGCTTGCAAAATTTGGTTTTGTGTTGATAGCAGAATAATCTGATTTTAAAGTGCTTTCTAAGGATAAAGTTTATTCTTATTTCTTAAATGACCCAGAAGTGCTGTCCATCTTCAAATTCGGCTTGTAATTCATATTTTTTTATTTTTTTATTTTTTATTATATTTTTATAATTCTTTAAAAAAAAAATGTTTCTAATATAAAATTCAAACTTATTTTAAAAAATAAATTTACTTAATCATGTTAAATTCAACAAAATCCAGTAATTATTCTAAAAAATGATTTAAAAATAGTTTCATGCAATTAAAATTATACTATTTTTATTAAGAAATTGATTATTATCAAGATTAAATAGTTATATTAGTTTAATTTCAAAAATTATACTCTATTGTATCTTTTATATTAAAAATAAACCATTCATAAATGGGTATGAAATAAAAAAAGTAGAAATCGTAATTCAAACAAAAAAAAAGATCAGAAATTAGCAGTAAATGTTAAAATATTGGATAAAACAAGATTTATAAAATTTAGGGTACTAATTGATGTTGCATAAAATTCATTTCAAGTCAATTTTTTTCTTTAAATATTATTTAATGAATATAAATAAATTAAAGCAAAATAAGCAAGGAAATGAGAAAGAATTCTTTGAGTCCAGTATTAAAGATTTGAGGATTTAGAAAAATTGAAAGAAAAAATGTTGATATTTGGTGAAATTGAAAAGAAAATAAAATTGAAATCGCATTAGGATTATTAAATTTGAATGGATAGGGAAATAATTATAGCATAGAGTATAGAAATTAAAATAAATATATTATGATTTTAGATGTAACTTAAAGAACTGAGCCATACACAATAAATTTCCGTGTGTCAAAGGAATAATTGTGTTAGGTGGCTTATGCTTGTTAAGAAAGGACATTTACAGAAGAGATTGATAAATTAGAAGAATTGGGAGGAGAGGAATTTATAGAGGTTAAAGATAGTTAAAAATATAGATGGCATTGTGTTCAAATTATAAGAATGGATTATAATTAAATGATGTAGTTTTGAGAGAACAGAATTTCGGTCATAATCGTAAACCAATAATTCTTCCAAAATCATATTGTTAATTGTTATGGAGTGCTTTGGAAGATTTTACAATGCGAATTCTGTGTTTGGCAGCTTTAGTGAGTATAGCAGTAGATGTAGGGACAGCATCATCTGATTATAGAGCATATGCATGGATAGAAGGTAAATAGGAATGTAAGTGATGTTAGGTTTTGCTATATTGGTGGCTGTGATAATATCAACAAATGCAAATGCTATAAATGATTATTAAAAGGAGAAATAGTTTTAAAAATTAAATGCAGTGGCTGATGAAAGAAAAAGAGTTACAGTAATTAGGAACGGATAGAAATTTGATATTCATATGAGTGAGGTGTTGGTAGGTGATGTAGTGATGATATTTGAAGGAATGGAAATTCCTGCTGATGGAATGGTATTTGAGGCATCAGATTTAACAACAGATGAGTCAGCAATGACAGGAGAGACAGATCCAATAAAAAAGAATTAATTATCCTATTGTATAGCAAAAAGAAATTAAACAGATTCAGCAACAGCTGGTCATCATGAAGTTCCTTCTCCAATAATGATGAGTGGTACAAGAGTATTGACAGGAGAAGGCAAGATGATTATTTTAGTAGTTGGAGATTTATCTTGTGCTGGTAAAATAAGTGCTTTACTTCGATAGGATGAACCAGAAGGTATTTTTTATTTATTAATTAATTAGCTACTCCTTTGTAAGTTAAATTAGCAGCAATTGCAGAAGATATAGGTAAGTTTGGATTATATAGTGCAATCATTATTGTTATTGTTATGTGTATAAGATTTGCCATTGAGAAATCTTAAATTGAATGGGAAAATAAATATATTGTAGAAATAGTCAATTTCTTTATTATTGGTATTACAGTTATTGTAGTTGCTATTCCAGAGGGTTTGCCTTTGGCTGTAACACTTTCATTGGCTTATTCTACTAAATAAATGTTGAGAGATCAAAATCTAGTAAGGAAAATGGCTGCATGTGAAACGATGGGTGGAGCATCTATGATATGTTCTGATAAAACTGGAACTTTGACATAAAATAAGATGACTCTAGTTAATATGTGGAATGATAACTTGATTGAATTGGAATCATATTCTACTTGTAATTTAACTGACTATCTTCCATAATAATTGGCAGATCTGTTTATACAATCTGCTATTGTAAATTCAAGTGCAATGCTTAGACCTGAACCTAAAGGATCTAAAACTGAAATTTCATTTCTAGAATTTATGGATAGATGTCAACAACCTTATGAACAAATTAAAGATAAATATCCAATCCTTATTAAATATCCTTTCAGCAGTCAAAGAAAGAGGATGTCTATTATTATAGATGTAGGAGGAGGATAGTAAAGATTAGTATGCAAAGGAGCATCAGAAATGGTATTAGCTGCTTGTACCTAATATCATTCTAAGACAGAAGGAGTCAAAAGAATTGATTCAAGAGTTGTTGAAGATGCCATTGAAAGTATGGCAAAAAAAGCATTAAGAACAATATGCTTGGCTTATAAAAATATCTCAAATGCTGCTGATTTAATAAGCAAAGATGATAAAGGTGTTTATAATATTGAATAAAATGATTTAATATTATTAGCAGTTTTAGGCATTAAGGATATTATTAGATAGGAAGTTCCTAGAGCTATTGAATTATGTAAAAGAGCAGGAATAAAAGTAAGGATGGTGACTGGTGATAATATTACTACAGCAAGAGCAATAGCAAATGAATGTGGAATAATAAGCAACTCTGAAGATAGTATAGTTATGGAAGGACCTGAATTTGTAAGAAGAATTGGAGGTGTTGTTTGCAAGAATTGTCATCCAGATGATTGTAATTGTGTGAGAGATAGTTAAACAGCAGAGAAAGAGAACAAGAAATTAAGGATTGACACAATAGCAAATGCTGAAGAGTTTGATAAGATTTATCCAAATCTTGATGTTTTGGCTCGTAGTAGACCAGAAGATAAGTATGCTTTAGTTACTGGTTTAATTGAAAGAAATCATGTAGTTGCTGTAACTGGAGATGGTACTAATGATGCTCCAGCTTTAAAAAAAGCAGATGTTGGATTTGCAATGGGAGTCTCAGGAACTGAAGTTGCAAGAGAAGCTGCAGCTATCATCTTATTAGATGACAATTTTAATTCTATAGTTAAGGCTGTGATGTGGGGTAGAAATGTCTATGATAACATAAAGAAATTTCTGAGATTTTAATTGACTGCTAATTTAGTCAGTGTTTCATTGACTTTGATCGGGGCTGCTCTATTGAGATAAGAAATATTAAAACCTATTCAATTGCTTTGGGTCAATCTAATAATGGACACTTTGGGATCTTTGGCTTTAGCTACAGAACCACCATCTGAAAAATTGTTGAATCGTAAACCACATGATAGAAATGAATACATCATATCCAAAAAGATGTTTAAATTTATTATAGGAACAGCACTCATTTAGGTTGGGGTTGTTCTAATAATTGTTTTCTTAGGAGATAAATTTCTACCAGAATATCAAGATGCTTATGATACATCTATATTTAGTGGCCCTAAAATAAGATTCAAATATAGTAATCACAATTGTGTTACTGATTTTGATTAATTAAAATCATTAGGACTTACTAAACTTAATTAAACATCTTCTACTGATAATCCAGATGACTCTGATAAATGTTTATTAACAAAATGTGTCTGTAAAAATTAAGAATGTTATGAAATCTAATGCCCTCCTTGTTTATACAATGAAGATTCATGTTCAATAGTTGCAAGTGGAAGATTAATGACAGTTCAGGGAGATTAAGATTATTATATTATGTATAACATAGAACATGAAGGCAGTAGACATGTAATTACTTTTAAGTATTTTAGTTCACCTATGTCTTTAATGTATTCATCATGTTATAATTGTTTAATTTCTTAAATAGCAGAAGAATAACTGACGAAATTAATATTCTTGATAATATTACTAATCACTCTGCTTTCCTTCTTATTGTCCCTTTCATTTTCTGCATTCAAATTTTGATGGTTACTTTTGGATCTGCTGCCATTGGACTTTATAGTTATTATGGGTTATAAATCAAACAATGGTTAATTGGAATTGGATTTGGTAGTATCTCTTTAATAGGATGTCTTATACTCAAATTAATTCCTGAAGATAACTTTTGTAAATAAATGGAAACTTAAAAAGTTGCACCTCTTCAACAAGAAGTTAATCTCTCTTCTAACAAACCAGAATAAACTCGTAATGCTCTTGCAAATCGTTATTCCTAATTGTCAAGACATCCAGATCTTCCAGTTCATTGAATATAAATTATTTTAATTAATGAATCTACTCAAAAAAGCTACCACTGTTGTTTGCTCTATTCAGGAACACTAAGAAGTTGATTAGAAGATTATTCATTTATGTCTTGACTCTAAGTGTTAGATTTCAAAAAAAGCATTATGTGGTCTCTGTTTAGGAGAAGAACATTATGGACATAAATCAATCAATCTATCAACATTAGATACTCTTATCAAAAATGAATGGACTAGGGAAATTAAATAATACAATCAAAAAAATAAAGATTTGACAGATTCTATTCAAATGAGCATTGCTGCTATACTCAATAAAGTTAAACTGCTCTAAGATTAGATATAATAATTGGCTAATTAGGATATGTAGGAGAGTAAAGTAGGCATTTTAAAACGAAAATATATTGATTAGCAAAATCTAACTGAAAAAGATTATGAATAATTAGCTAAAGATGTTTGTGACATCATCCATTATAATAATGGTATTCCAGATTTCAAGCCAATAGATTATGAGCCAACTGATAAATTTTAGAGTCTTGCTCAAAAGTTAATTTTTGATGCCGCTCTCTTTTGTAAAGATATCTCACTCATTACTAAATCTAATATAGTTCATTAGAGTTTTGCAGAACAAATACAAGATCTATTATTCTAGATTAACAGTATCACAAACTTAATAGAAAAACCTTTGAGTTATTTGATGCAAAGTCGTCGATTATTCCCAAATGATAAAAGTGAAACATAATCTATGCAAAGAATCGATTTTGATTAATAGAGCGTATTTGGTACAATAAATCAGTCACCCTTTTGCATTTAAAAGTAAGTTAAATTCAAGACTTTAGAAATGAAAGGGTTTACGAAGATATACGAAGAGCTTTTCAATAAACCATTTACTTAAACTCATATTGAATTAATAAAGTAAAGATGTACTCCTTAATCATAAATCTGCATCGGTGGAGTAAGTGCTAACGATCCAGATTAATTTATTCTATGTGCAACAGATTATGCTTCTGAGTTTTTCACTGAAACATAGGATTTAAAGCTAGCCAGGAAGAGTAAGAATGGTGAAATCTATTGGTATTATTTTCGTAATCGTTGTATTGGCTTTAGTCCAATGAGTAAAATTGATTTAAAATATCCTGATGTGGAGAATGACGAAGGAGATTTAAGATTTTCTTTGTGGCTATTTCATGGATAAGGGGGTTATAGGATAGGGAAATTGGAAAGTTTAGAATAAAGTGTTGAATATAAATGTGTGATTTATTTAAAGAAATGATAATATATTAAAATATATATTTACAACAATGCAATTTAGAGAATAATTTTGAGTCAATAAAGTTATATTTTGGAATTTGATGAGATAAGTTTTTCTCTTTAAAGATTGATTTAAATAACAGTTAATATTTTAATTTTTGAATTTATTTTACAAAATGCTAAGTATGATTATTGGTATATGAAAGCACAAAATTTCTATGATTTGAGAGGAGGTGATAAGATGAGTAACAATAATAGATAGTTAGAAAGGTATGAAAAATTGGAAAAGATAGGAGAAGGTAATTTGTAATTCAAAAGTGTTTAGGAACTTATGGTGTTGTTTATAAGGCGCGTGATTCAGTGACTAAAGAATTGGTAGCACTGAAGAAAATCAAACTAGAAAATGAAGATGAAGGTGTTCCTTCTACTGCTATGAGAGAAATTTCAATTTTGAAAGAACTTCAACCTCATCCTAACATTGTAGGTTTGAAAGAAGTGATTTATCAACCAAATGAGAAAAAACTCTACTTAGTTTTTGAGTATGTGGAGATGGATTTCAAGAAATTCCTTGATTAAAATAAACACAATCTTACAATCAGTCAAATAAAAGTAAGAATAAAAATCAGAATAAATAGCATTTCACATTCTAAATCTTGAATGGTCTGAACTATTGTCATTCTAGACGTATTATTCATAGAGATCTAAAACCATAAAATATATTAATTGACAAATCTACAGGAATTATTAAATTGGCGGACTTTGGTTTAGCAAGAGCATTTGGAGTTCCAATTAAAACCTTGACTCATGAAGTAGAAACTCTATGGTACCGAGCACCTGAAATCTTATTATCATAAAAGTAATATTCATTGGGTGTTGATATTTGGTCTGTGGGATGCATTCTTACAGAAATGGTTGAAAAGCATGGATTATTTTGTGGGGATAGTGAAATTGATCAGATTTTCAAGATTTTCTAATATCATGGAACCCCAACTGTTCAAGATTGGCCAAACATTGCAGATTTGCCAGACTTTAAACCTACATTCCCTCGCTTTCGACCAACACCACCTGAATAGTTTTTTAAAAATTTTGATAAAGTAAAAGCATTTATTTCTATATTTAAAATAGATTGGCTTAGATTTAGTTACCAAAATGATTACTTTAGATCCAGCTAAAAGAATCTATGTTAAGGAAGCAATGAAACATCCTTTCTTTGATGATTTAAACAAGGAAGATCTTATAAAATATTTTCCACCAGGTTAACAAAATTTGGCTATGCAGTATGGAAAATGAATTTAATTAAAATAATATTAATATGTCAGATTAGATCATAAATTTTACAGAATTATAAAAGGAATATGGTGAAATGGCTTAAATGATCATTCAAAACTTCGAATCTACTTGTTTCGATTAAAGAACGGAAGGATTTCTTTAAGGAATGCTAAATAAAGATTGGGTTTAGGCCATGATTGAAAGTGGAGCTTTAAAGGAATCTGCAGGGTATAAGTTAAATTACTACCCAGTTACATCAAGGCTGGTCCATTTATCAATACATTAAAAAATTTTCATGATTTTGTAAATGATCATCGTATATTTATTCAATATCCTGAAAACTAACCTGCAGCGCCAGATCGACCACAATATCGATTAAAAGACGAATTTAATGATGATAAAAAATTGTAAGCTTATGATTATTTTCATCCAATAATTGAATAAGCACGATTACTCAAATTAGAAATGTCTAAATACTCTGGCTCACAAGTGTCTGATAATATTTTCCTAGCTGAAGGTAAATTAAACATAAATTTATTTAAGGGGAAAAGATTAAGAAAATGCATGAGGAACTTAAATAGCAAATCGAAATATAAAGAAGAGCATCAAAGCCAGTGGAAGTAAATTAATAAGTTTTAGATACAGTTTTTGTGGATCCTGCTTTAGCAAGTAGTAAATGTTGTAATAAATGTGTAATTTTCTGACTTTTTGATTTTAATTGGTTATTCTTTTGATTTTTAAATATCCAATTGCTTATAATACTTCATTATTCTATTTTCTAAAACTTACTATTTAACTTAAATTTTCTTTTTTCATAATAAATTTCAATTTTAATTCATCGATTTGACTTTTTTATTCAAATTCAACAAAATTTTAATAAAAAAATTATGAATTTCTTTAGGTAATTTAATAATCTCTCCCAAACATTTGAAATCTGAAATATTTGTAAGAAATTTTTATTTTCTTAATCCAATTCATTTTGTTTATTCAAAATGGTAGATCATAATAACATACCTGCTATATAAAAAGTAAATGAATACTCATAATTAATAAATTATATTTCTTTGTTAAATTTATTTGAAGCAAATAAATTTTTTTTCTGAAAATAAATTATGATTCATTAAAACTTTGAAACTTTATATAAAGAAAAAATATATACATATAAAATGATCACTTTAGATTAGTTTAGTAAAAACATAAGTTAAGTAAGCTATGAGACATTCTCCTCTCTTTGATGACTTAAATAAAGAAGATCTCCCAAGATAATAAAATATGGTTATGCTGTGTGAAAATTAAATTAAATTAAATAATCTTAATATGACAGATAAGATTATAAATTTTACAGAATTGTAAAAGGAATATAGTGATATGGCTTAAATGATCATTCAAAACTTCGAATCTACTTGTTTCGATTAAAGAATGGAAGGATTTCTTTAAGGAATGCTAAATAAAGATTGGGTTTAGGCTATGATCAATAGTCACACGCTGAAGGGCTCTGCAGGGTATAAGTTAAATTACTACCCAGTTACATCAAGGCTGGTCCATTTATAGATACAATCAAAATTTTTTAGCAGTTTGTCAAAGATCATTGTGTACTTATTCAATATCCTGAAAACTAACCTGCAGCGCCAGATCGACCACAATATCGATTAAAAGACGAATTTGATGATGATAAAAAATTGTAAGCTTATGATTATTTTCATCCAATAATTGAATAAGCACGATTACTCAAATTAGAAATGTCTAAATACTCTGGCTCACAAGTGTCTGATAATATTTTCCTAGCTGAAGGTAAATTAAACATAAATTTATTTAAGGGGAAAAGATTAAGAAAATGCATGAGGAACTTAAATAGCAGATCGAAATATAAAGAAGAACTTCAATAAGGTAGAGCCAAAAAACTATCCAGACTTAATAATAAAACAACCCACCTGCTCCAGAGCAAACATTAAAACCGGTGCAAATGAATTCATCAGTCTTAGATATTGTTGTCGTGGATCCACCATAAGCAAATAGTAAATGTTGTGATAAATGTGCAATTTTCTGACTTTTGATTTTAATTGGTTTGTTCTTTTGTATTTTTAAATATCCAATTTCTTAGACCATATCCTAAATACCTGTTCATTCTTTCCCCCTAAGATTAATCTTGAAAATAAAAAAATTTCAAAAAATATTCATATAATGGATTCGATTAAAATTAATTTTTATTTCTTCCTTATTTTTAACTTTAATTCATCAATTTTAAATTAATTATATCAATATCAGATATCATATAGCTAAATTTTAAAATATCTTTTTTTCTATTTACTTTATTAAATAAACTCAAGAACATTTTAATGAAAAAATTATTAATTCACCTAGATTAAGTATGGTTTTCTTAAAATTATAACAATAATCTCATGAAGAAAGAAAATCTAAATGTTGGTTATTTTTAAAATAATTGAATTCTGATTTAAGTTTAATTGCAATAAATTTCCAAGGTAAGTTGATAAAAGTGGAACATAAACTGAAATTGATCCTGTAAATCTAATCAATAAAGAATAAATACTAAATCTATTAATTTTTTGTGTTGCATTTTTATTAATTTCAGAAGTTTTTTGATAAAATAAACATCCTTAGCAACGAAAAAATATAGCATAATCAAATTATTTAAAAAAAATCTTCAAAATCTAACAAATCAGTAAAGTTTTACTTTATTTTGCTTACTTTCTTCTTTTGTGTCGACAATAATTATAAAAGAATACTTAATTCAAAGACTCGAATTAAGCTCAGTAAAATTATCTAGAACAAATCAAATATCAAAAATAATTTTAAAATACATCATTTGTAGTGATAGATACAAAAATTTTTATTAAATGGAATTGGTTTCAATAGTGTTATTGATTTTCTCCAATAGACTGATTTACGTCATTAATATGAATAAATATTCTTGTACTTCTTTAATGGCAGTGAACTAATTGTAGAATATATATAAGTTAAAAAAGATTTCTAGTACTTTAACTACAACTTTACTAATCATTTTTAGAAAAATTAGCAAAAAAGATAGAATCTCTTTTTTTTTTAAATCGAAATTATCATTTTTTGTTTATCATTTTGGTTTTATAATTTAATGGTAGACATCAAAAAAGGAAACAATTCTTTTTTTTGTGAAACAANCAGTCTTAGATATTGTTGTCGTGGATCCACCATAAGCAAATAGTAAATGTTGTGATAAATGTGCAATTTTCTGACTTTTGATTTTAATTGGTTTGTTCTTTTGTATTTTTAAATATCCAATTTCTTAGACCATATCCTAAATACCTGTTCATTCTTTCCCCCTAAGATTAATCTTGAAAATAAAAAAATTTCAAAAAATATTCATATAATGGATTCGATTAAAATTAATTTTTATTTCTTCCTTATTTTTAACTTTAATTCATCAATTTTAAATTAATTATATCAATATCAGATATCATATAGCTAAATTTTAAAATATCTTTTTTTCTATTTACTTTATTAAATAAACTCAAGAACATTTTAATGAAAAAATTATTAATTCACCTAGATTAAGTATGGTTTTCTTAAAATTATAACAATAATCTCATGAAGAAAGAAAATCTAAATGTTGGTTATTTTTAAAATAATTGAATTCTGATTTAAGTTTAATTGCAATAAATTTCCAAGGTAAGTTGATAAAAGTGGAACATAAACTGAAATTGATCCTGTAAATCTAATCAATAAAGAATAAATACTAAATCTATTAATTTTTTGTGTTGCATTTTTATTAATTTCAGAAGTTTTTTGATAAAATAAACATCCTTAGCAACGAAAAAATATAGCATAATCAAATTATTTAAAAAAAATCTTCAAAATCTAACAAATCAGTAAAGTTTTACTTTATTTTGCTTACTTTCTTCTTTTGTGTCGACAATAATTATAAAAGAATACTTAATTCAAAGACTCGAATTAAGCTCAGTAAAATTATCTAGAACAAATCAAATATCAAAAATAATTTTAAAATACATCATTTGTAGTGATAGATACAAAAATTTTTATTAAATGGAATTGGTTTCAATAGTGTTATTGATTTTCTCCAATAGACTGATTTACGTCATTAATATGAATAAATATTCTTGTACTTCTTTAATGGCAGTGAACTAATTGTAGAATATATATAAGTTAAAAAAGATTTCTAGTACTTTAACTACAACTTTACTAATCATTTTTAGAAAAATTAGCAAAAAAGATAGAATCTCTTTTTTTTTTAAATCGAAATTATCATTTTTTGTTTATCATTTTGGTTTTATAATTTAATGGTAGACATCAAAAAAGGAAACAATTCTTTTTTTTGTGAAACAATTATACTTCTTTCGATGACATAAAATTTTTTTAGATATTTTAATCTGTAATAACTTTAGATCACATTTTATACTCATATTTATTTGGTTTACAAAGTATATTCTAATAGAATTAAAAAAGAAACCAAAAAAAATAATGTAATTAATAATTTTAAAAATATAAATTATCATGGTTTTTGGAGATAAGCTATGACAATTGAAATATCATCAACAACTTCATCTTCTTAATGCCATCTTTATGTAGAAAGCTTAACAATATGATCACAAATTTCGTTTATTTTTTTAGCTGTCATATTAGGTTACCAATTCTAGACAACGATTTTTTATATTTCATCATTAGAAAAGAATTCCCATACTCCATCACTTGCAACCACTAAGAATGCATAATTAGAATTCATTTTATGATGAATTATCTCTGGTTCACAGCTCACCCCAACAGTTGATGCAACATAGTCTCCAAAAGATCTACTCATGGCCAATCCTGGAATTTAATCATGTAACAACCATACTCTTGGTGGTCCTATTGTTTCCCCATTTTCGCTAATAAATGGTTAAACTCTCCCTTTAGAAGAGATTATTCTTTTGTATTCATTTGGCAAATCGGGTTTATGATCATTACTTAATTCAATAGTTTTCCATTTCTAATTATTTTATTACTAAATCAAAATCTATAATTATTTTTTTATTAAATTTACTGATCTTGAATCTCCTATATTGGCACACCATAAATGAGGGCCAGAAACTAAAACTAAAGAACAAGTAGTTCCACTAAATGTTATATCAATTCCACAATTAGATAAGTCTTTTTGCATTTTCAAAAAGCTTTAAGTCATTGCTTTGGTTATGTCAGTATAATGATTTTCACTTATATCTTTTTCTTACATCCCGATGTTTTATTTTATTTACTGATCTATGATATTTGGTAATAATTTTTTAACTAATTATGATACATAATGTCCATAAACACCATGTCCATCGCAAACTGAAAAGATGTATCTATTTTTAATTCCACCCAAATTATTAGTTACAATTACACTATCTTAATTAGTTTTAGTTTATCCAGATCCATTTTAACCAGGTTGGGATCTATTAATGATTAAAAAATACTTAGAATAAAATAAATTAACGTAATCTTGCATTTAATCATCTAGGACAAAAGTATTTACTAAAGTTGCTTGACTGGTTGATCGGCCGTGTAACATAACCATTTAATTAGAAGCTTTTGGTTTAATTTCTTAATCAATAGTTTAAGAGGCTAATTTAACCCTAGATATCGAAGGTCTTGAATTAGGAGTAGTATCAGAGATTAATTTAATTATTGAACCTCTAATTTATTACTAAATTGTTTGAGAGAATGATTTACTGAAGGGGTTTCATCAGTTGTATCTTTTCTTTTGGAGCTTTTCATTTCTTACAGGGTTTCGTCTTTGATTGATAAATTGTTATTTAATTAAGTATCTGCTCTTCGGAGATTAGGAAGTTTCATTGGAGATTGTGACTATTTAAGGATAGGTTATACTTCAACATTGGTTGCTCCATTAATAACTCTCTTTTTTGGGGATTAGCTTGTTGATTATAATGGCCTTTATTATTGGGCCTATGAAAATCTTATAAATCGCTACAAATTAAAATTTGTCATCTTGTTTAGCATTAACAGTTAATCGTTTCACATTAAATTTTCCTTTGGCAGGAGATTGGCCGTTTCTTCAATGAATTTGAATTTTTACAAAATGGGAGACATGTTTAAAAGCAAGGGTTTTTCCAGTACTTTAGGAGGCTGTTTTTTCTTTAACTATGGGGAACTTGATGTACTTTGAGTATTTTGTTATTCATTGAACTTTAATGGAAATACTCTGACTGGATTCATTATATAAATTATATATAATTAGTTATGTAATTTTCATTATTTCTTTTGGTACCAAGTTGGGTATAATTTTGGTGCAATTTCAGGTTGAATAGAGAGTTCCTCTATAAATAATGGCATAAATAAATACCCTTAGTAAAATCAAAAAAGTCTGGTAAAGTCTAGTTAGGTATGCCAAATCCAACTTATCTTATATCATTAAAGAAAGGATGGACAAGAGCTTCAAGAGGTCTCAATCTTTCTTTGGGAGGATAAACCATAAGTTTAGAAATTAGATCAATAAATTAAGCATCTGGTTTGAATTTGGCAAATACCTAGAAATATATAAAGAATTATAAATTACTTTCTACCAAGGATGACATTTGATGAGTGGAAACTTAAAGTCTTTATGTTAAGGATTCATCATTTTTACTTGTTCTTAAGTAGGAGTACCCAAAATTTTAATTATCTCAACTAACTGATCTGTTGCACTTTCTCCTGGAAAGAGAGGCTCTCCAATAAGCATCTCTGCAATTACACAACCGATAGACCAAACATCAATTGCTGTACTGTATTCAGTAGCCCCATAAATTAATTCAGGAGCTCTATAATAACGAGAGCAAATGTATGCAACATTGGGTTCACCTTTTTAAAGTTTCTTAGCTGATCCAAAATCACATATCTTAAGCACATGTGTTGCTGGATCGACCAATATATTTTAAGGCTTGATATCCCTATGGCAAATGCCGATTCCTAATTTTAAACTAGTGAAGTTACCTTCCATATAAGCTAGAGCTCTGAACATTTGATATCCATATACTTTTAATAAGACATTAGGAAATTGCTATTTTGCTTTTCTGTAATATCTAACTACTTTGCTTAATGTATCAGGTATATAATCCATAACCAAATTCAAATAAACATCGTCACCCTAAACATCAAATGCATATATACTTTATCTCCTTAAGTGAAAAAAGCTTCCTTTAACTTTATTACACATGGGTGATTGAGTTCTTAAATGATTAGATGCTCCCTGTTTTTATACCTCTTATCTTGAAATACTTTTTTAATGGCTACTTTCTCTCCTGTGACGGAATTGGTGGCCTAGAAAGATGATGAAAATGCCATACTAAATAAACCATTCCAAAAGTGCCATTTCCAACAATTTGATTAAGAGTGTATTTTTGGGCTTAATCCGATTTCTAAATAATGAATACTAAGACAAACCTATTGTTGTTGATTTTCATCATTAGCCAATGTTGTAACTCTTGTGCTTGGTTTAGTCGGCTGCTATTATTAAGGTTTCTTTAACATAATTATTTATATTATCACAAATTCAAATACAAAGAAAATAAAAATAAAAACTCGAATCTCTTGTTTATTTGTTTAGAACATTATAATATTTATTATTTTTAAAATTACCCTTTTAATGTCAAATAATCTAGTAAGCGATGTTGAAATTTAAAAGCAAGCCTAACAACTCATCAATCATATCTTTTAAATCTTGAAATCTAGTAAAACAACTCTTGTCAATCAAAATTTATAATAATGAAGAAATTTAAAAGAAGGTAAGGTCATAGTATTTAGGTTACAAAAAAATTTTAAAAACAGTTTCAATTACGTTATAATGATGAAAGAAGAAATCTTTTTATTTATCCATGAGATATTTATAAATTTATTTGTACAACCTTTTGTCTATTAAAATTGGATTTTCTAGAACTCTTTAATTATAAATAATTTACAAGATATAAGAGTTTTTTATTAATTATGAATAAAAGGTGATTTTTTTTGGTTTATTGGAATTACTTTACATTATAGTTATTTGAAAGCTCCTAGATCTAATACCCCTTAAAATAAATAAGATTATTGTAATATAATTTATAAATATTGAAAAACAAATAGAAATATGATACCGAAATATAGAATGACGAATTATAAAAAGAATAAAAAAAATTGCTTTTACTATTGATGATGATGAACCTGATTTAATTGGATCAGATTAATATATTGAAATAAGAATTCCTAATTGGATAACTCTAAAAGCAGGTAAAGAGGAGCTGAATCAAACCATATAGGCCACCTAAAATAATATATAAAAAAGGAAACTTTTTTAAGAGTACTTCTTTAGAAACAAATCGAATTTTATAAGGTTTATTGAATTAAAATTTAATTTAAAAATCCAAAATATATTCTATTCATTTGACTTTACATAGTTTTTAAGAAATTAAATAATTTTTATATTAAATATAATTTAAATCTATGGATTACTTTAATCATTAACAATAACAAGCTGATCCATAATCATCGAAAATAAAAAGTATTTTCTAAAAATTAAGAACCGCATAAACAGAATTTGGTTTAATACCAGTTTCTAGAATAGTAAGTGGATTAGAAAAAAAATTCTAATAAATGAAAACAACAATAAGTTAAAGGAAAAGTGTTTTACCTTAATTAAAATTATCTATATTTCATTTTTAAGAACAAATGTAAATGTAAATTGGATAATTAATCTCAATAATTGATAATATCTTGCTTTAAGAACCAAATTCATAATACCAACCATAATTCTAAGATAAAATTAATATAAATTATTTATTAGAATATAAACCTTTATTAAAGTAATTTAAGGAATTTGCAAAGATTTCCAAAGATAACTTTATATAAATAAAAAAGCTCGTAAAATAATTTGAAGGGAATTGCATAAATTATAAAATGATTGAAACTTTAGAATAAAATAATACATCTAATACAATTCTTTTCAATCATTTAAATGATACATTTTTTCAAGGAATTGAAGAAAATTTAAAAATATGGTAATTTAAAAATGGTCAACTTTACAATAGTTAATTATTGAAAGGTCATAATCAATAAATTTCTTGTTTAGCTTGTAGTAAGAATAAAAATATGATTGTATCAGGAGGAAAAGATATGTAAGTAAGAGTTTGGTAAACAATTAATAAGATGAATTGGTAAACTACATAGATACTTAAAGGTCATACAGGATAGATTCATAGTATTATAATTAATGAATCGGATGATGAGATTATTTCAAGTAGTAGTGATAGTTCAATAATTGTATGGAGATTGAATTCAGATTTATGGTAGTTAATATAAAATCTTGAAATTCATTAAAATTCTGTTTATTAGTTGAGTTTCAACTAATCATATTCTTTATTTTCTTCATGCAGTTATGATAGAAATTTAATTATTTGGAGTCTAAATAATGATCAAGAATGGAGAAAATAGCAAATAATTAAGCATGTAACATAAAGCTATAGGGCTTGTTTTATATAAGACAATTAAATTGTTCTATAATAAAGTTCTAATAGATATATAGAAATTTATACAAGAAACAACAATAATGTTTTTGTTAAAACTTAAACTCTTGAGATGCAATATTTGAATACTGATATTAGTAATTTTAGTCCATTATAATTTATTATCAATAAATAATTACTATTGCTTAGACACAATAATAAAACAATAATATTAAGAAGAAAAGAGAATTGGAAATTTTAAATTGAAGAAGAAATTGATGGAGAAGCTATTGGAACATTAACTAATGATGGTAAATACTTAGTTTTAATCAATAGAAAATTAAAATAATTACAAATTTATGAACAAATGTTATAATGAATATTAATTATAAAGATCAATTATTTTTTAATAAAATTCATTATTTTTTAAAATTTAAAGATGAATCCTGATTTAATATGGATATATTCAAATATTCTCATATATATTCAATTGTGTAATAAATTTATTAAAAAATTTTTTCAATTTTATATAAGACAAGNAAGATTTCCAAAGATAACTTTATATAAATAAAAAAGCTCGTAAAATAATTTGAAGGGAATTGCATAAATTATAAAATGATTGAAACTTTAGAATAAAATAATACATCTAATACAATTCTTTTCAATCATTTAAATGATACATTTTTTCAAGGAATTGAAGAAAATTTAAAAATATGGTAATTTAAAAATGGTCAACTTTACAATAGTTAATTATTGAAAGGTCATAATCAATAAATTTCTTGTTTAGCTTGTAGTAAGAATAAAAATATGATTGTATCAGGAGGAAAAGATATGTAAGTAAGAGTTTGGTAAACAATTAATAAGATGAATTGGTAAACTACATAGATACTTAAAGGTCATACAGGATAGATTCATAGTATTATAATTAATGAATCGGATGATGAGATTATTTCAAGTAGTAGTGATAGTTCAATAATTGTATGGAGATTGAATTCAGATTTATGGTAGTTAATATAAAATCTTGAAATTCATTAAAATTCTGTTTATTAGTTGAGTTTCAACTAATCATATTCTTTATTTTCTTCATGCAGTTATGATAGAAATTTAATTATTTGGAGTCTAAATAATGATCAAGAATGGAGAAAATAGCAAATAATTAAGCATGTAACATAAAGCTATAGGGCTTGTTTTATATAAGACAATTAAATTGTTCTATAATAAAGTTCTAATAGATATATAGAAATTTATACAAGAAACAACAATAATGTTTTTGTTAAAACTTAAACTCTTGAGATGCAATATTTGAATACTGATATTAGTAATTTTAGTCCATTATAATTTATTATCAATAAATAATTACTATTGCTTAGACACAATAATAAAACAATAATATTAAGAAGAAAAGAGAATTGGAAATTTTAAATTGAAGAAGAAATTGATGGAGAAGCTATTGGAACATTAACTAATGATGGTAAATACTTAGTTTTAATCAATAGAAAATTAAAATAATTACAAATTTATGAACAAATGTTATAATGAATATTAATTATAAAGATCAATTATTTTTTAATAAAATTCATTATTTTTTAAAATTTAAAGATGAATCCTGATTTAATATGGATATATTCAAATATTCTCATATATATTCAATTGTGTAATAAATTTATTAAAAAATTTTTTCAATTTTATATAAGACAAGTATTAATAAAAAATATTTACTTTAATGCTCACTGAAAGTTAGAGTTAATCATCAGTTCATTGTTTTGTTGATGGTAATTTCTTTTTAAGCATAATCAGGTTTGAAAAGTTAGCAACTTGAACTTTAGTAAGGAAAATTTTAAACTTCTGAATTGTTTCTAAAATAAGGTTCAATAATGGTTTAATATTATTTCAGCTAAAATTTTGCATTCATTAGGAAGAAATGATGAAGCTTTGCTTAATTTAAACAAGGCTATAGAACTTGATTCAAGAATGATAGAAGCATATTTTATTCGAGGTAAAATGAAGAAAATCTTTAGGAAATATATTTAGATTATTAAATTAAACGTAGTTTGCTCTATAAGATTATAAAAAATGTGCATCTGAAGGAACTAATAATTATTAAGTTTATTATAATTTAGGTAATGTATTAAATAATTCTAGGTTTGCTTCTAGCGGAAAATAATAGAAAAGAGGAAGCTATTTTATATTTTGATTAATCACTTAAATATTTTCCAACTTTAGAAACATTAATTAATAAGGGAATATTGTGTATCTAATTAGATTTTTTTGAATAAGCATTATAAACATTCGAAAAAGCCTTTGATTTGAATCCACAATGTCATATAGTTTTGTTTAGCATGGGTAATTTTAGAAACGAAAAGAATAGGTTATGCCTTGTATAAACTGAATAGATTTGAAGAATCATTGGACTGTTATAATAATGCAATCAAACTTAATAACTATTTGATTAACGGTTATAATAATAAAGGTAAATTTAACCTTCTTTTTTTTATAGCTGTTGTTCTTTGCAAATTAGGCAAAGAAAAAGAAGCTATTGAAAGTTTAAAAAAAGGTTTAAGATTATAATCTGATGATCCAATTTTAAATTTAAATTTATTTAAATTATATAGGATTTTAAAATAAATAGAAGAGTCTAATCTCATTAAGAATAAACTTATTGGTATTGAGCCAATGTGGTCAGAAATAGAAAATTTAGAATAAATAGAATCTATGTTAGAAAGTACCACTAATGAAATCAAATTATTATAAACCAATAGTCTAGATCAATCTCTTAAATAATTAAATGATTATTTTGAAAGAGTTCAAAATGCATATAAAAATTTATGGAACTATGATTTGGAACTAGAAAAAATTGACCCTTAATTTAATTAATAAGATACTTTTTCAATTTCTTAAATACTTGAGTAATCTTTGAATAGTGAAGAGGCTATTATTAAGCATAAACTATTATACTTGTAAGATAGAATCTATTTTTAATCATTATATTGGAGATTATTAAATTACATTAGAATTATCCAATCAGCCTAAGTTGAAGCAAATAGTGAAAAAATATAAGCCATTATCGATTAAATTAATAATAACAATAAATTTTTACTTCCATAAGAAAGTGATAAATAAAATTTTGATAATTTATCCATAAGTTAATTTTATAATGGGTAGAAATTCAATAATAATGACAAACTAAACACTGAAAATTAAATGAAGAAAATTTCGAATAATTCAGTTGTTTATTAAAGAGCTAGAAGTGCTTCTAGAAGAACTACAAAAAAACCAAACATTGATAAATCAAAATCATAGCCTTCTTAAATTAGATTAAAGAAAAATAAAAATTCCTTGAATATAAATTAAAATTAATAAACAAGATTTTATCATGAAAAATAAGTAACATATCAATAAAAAGAAAACAAATACATTGAATATAAACCAATATTTATTTCATTAGAAATTGTTAAATTAATTAATGAAAGTTTAGAAGTTAATACATTTACAGATTTATAAATTAGAAATATTATTAAAGTGATAAATAATAAAACAAAAAATCTGAAAGAACTTGAAGTTGAAATTTAATATGCTGTTTATGATTTATCAAACCGAAAATTCGAATATAATAAATCCAATAGTTAAATTTTAGAAATATAAAAGAAAGAATATGAATTAAACAAGCTTGATTATATTAATTAGAAATAATGGTAACAAGGGATTGATGATACTATTTTAATATTACACTATTTCAAAGATAATTATCGTGCATTAGTAGAACCTCTGCAACAAAATCTTCGATTTTAAATTTAAGCCAGTTAAAATTATGTTAGAAAGTCTAATTTGAAAAATAAAGAATAAAAAGTAGTGTAAGTAGAACAAAGCTGTACTTGCCTAATTTAATGATTATTAAATTTAAAATATTTATGAGATAAATTTAGATGATTTATGTTTTTTAATTAATTCAAACTCATTAATATGAGAGTATGTTTAAAAATTTCTATAAGTTCTAAATCAAAATCTAAATTACCTTTTTATTAGTAAAATAATTAAGAATATTCGATAAAATCATTTAGTGCATTATTATGCATTTTTTCCAAAGGTCATATTCTTAATAATTTACCATGAATTCTTATTCAAAATATTTGGGCTTTGTAATGCCTTCTTATTGATTCACTGACTTATTTTCAATTTAAACCAATTTATAATTGCTTTTATAGTTAAATAATATAAATTTCATAATGGATGAAGACTCAGATAATTCAGAAATTTACATAATAGTGTTTGCTATTATATTTTTAATTTTCCTAAGCATTGCTTTGTTAATCTATATTCGTAAAAAATAATAAAATAGAAACAAAAAAAATGAAGAGGAAATTAATAAATTGAAATAATATGTTAATTCTTGCGATCGCAAATAAGAAAGTCGAACAGATAATGTTAATACTTAACCATAAATTTTAAGCTAAACAAATTCTTTTACAAAAACTAATCGTATGTATTAATAGGAACAGCCAGAATAAAATAAATAAACTGGTAAGATGCTTCTTGATCTTGAAAAATCTGAAAGAGAGATAATTAATTCACAATCTCCTCATTCTCCGAAATCCCCCCCAGAAGAAGAAGAAAAAAAACAAACTATAGATAGTGGAAGAAAAAAAGTAGTTGGAATTAAAAAAAAAAACCTTTAAATAGAAATTCCTTTAGATTGAAATCTATAATTAATACATATATAGTCCTCACTCAAAAAATTCAATTTAACTTAAGCATTATTAAAGCAATTTCTATTATTATTATGTAAATTCATGAAGTTGATTACTAATATAAATCTTAGGTATTCCTTTTAGTTACTCTTTGAATTGATTAATTTATTTTATAAAATCATCTGATAAAATTTAGCTGTATCCGAAGGAGATTCCAAATTCTGTTAATTTTTTCTGGCTTACAATTTTAAGAATTAATTTTAATGTTTATTCGTTTGCAGTTGAACCTATTAAGTTTATTTTAAATTTTTCTAATTTTGGTAAATACTGTATTGCACTTATTATTTCTTCTAAATTATTTGCTTTTAAAGGGGATTTTATTGCTGTAATTTATAAACTATTTAATGCTACAAATTTTGGGAATATGCTTTTTATTCCTTCCCAATTATTTTAAAACCTAATTGAAATACACAAATATATACAATTCTAATCTAAGTTTTGGAATAAAACAAGTTAAGTCTTTTAAATCTTCTATGCCTTTTATCTTGATATATTTTTATGAATCCAAAATTTATTATTTTTTTATAAATTCCATATCAACATCATTAAGAATATCAGTAAGGGATTAAACTAATTTTATTCCTTAAGATTCCCATAAGTATTCTTCTTCACTTAAAAAATATTTATCTTAATTCTGAATTAAATCTTTTATGATATCAGTTTCCTCTATAGAATTGGCTTAAAATAATTTTTTCATTATTTCATTTTCATGATTTTTCTTCTCTTACAACAAAAAAGTTTCAATTTCCTAAAAAATTAAAAATATAATATTACAAATTATATCTATAAAATCAGTTCATTTAGTTTTGGTTATAAATTTCCTAAACTATATAATATTTATTGAGCATCTTTAAATCTCTACCAATTTTATAAATATTTACTTTTTCTTTTTAGCTTTAAACATTTTCCATTGTACTTTATATGTATGTAAGATACTCATCATATTTGTAAATATTTTCTTTACAATTTTTATGATTTTTGAGTAAGCAATCAATACAAATTAATCCATTTTCCTCACATTCTGGATTAGAACACACTAATTAAAGTTTGAGATTATGACTTTAGCATAAATGAGGTTTATGTATATTAAACACATCAAATTCTTTTGAGTTCATAAATTTAATTAATTGAAAATTAAATTAATTTCAAAAATTTATACCAAAATTTATTGTTTAAACTGTTTATAAAGAAAAAATCTAAGTATAACTTCTCTTAGAACTTTAAAATAATAAGTTTATGAAATAAATCGAGAATTTTAGAGCAAATATTCTAAAATTTAATTTAAAAATTCTATTAAAAAAATTATTTTTTTTAAATAATTTATTTTATAATAGAAAATGAGTAGAAATTTATAATTCATAATTGATAAAAAAAATTAATCAAAACATAAAAATTTAATTATTTCAATTTGCACTTTCATTAAATTGATTTCGAAAGTTCCTTTAAAGGATGAGAAAATAGAATAAAAGATTATATAATAACATATAATCTGGTAAGGTTTTTTTTAATTCAATAATTATCAATTTATTAGATCCATAAATTTAGTCAATATGAAAAAATTATACTTTTCAACTTTTTAAAAACTTTATTTTTATCAATATTTTTTTTAAGTAATTTGGAAAATTTAGAACTAAACTTAATTCTACTTAATATAATTTTTTTTTAGAATGATTATTGATAAAAAAAGTACTCTATCTTTCTATATATAATATGTAGCCGAAAAATAATAAAAAAATTCTTATATATTGAGATTATAAACTTCTTTAACGGTTCTCTTTTAACACCTCCTGACAAATATTATTAAATCTTTATTTCATCTATTATAATATTCTCTAATTTCAATGTCGAAAAAAATATTCGCTATTCTCCTATGATTGTCTTATGTGGATAATATGTTTAAAAAAACAAAATAAACTATTATTTAAAAAAAATAATCTTGAAAATTAAGTTTTTCATTCCTAAATACCTGAAAAATAATCAATTCCTCTTGTGAATTTTAAAAGGCATTTATTTCTTTTTGAAATACATTTTTATTATTTTTATTTGTCTTATATCACAAAAAACATTCTTAAAATCTAAAATATTAATATGTTCCTAAAGTAAGATGTTATTACATTAACATTATTATTATACCAAATAATAAAAGCTATTTAATATTTTAATATTATTTATAATTTTAATTCTAGAATTTACTAGAATAATTAATTCTTGCCAAAACTTATAAATAAAATTATGAATTAAGAAGATCTAGGGGAGAGAAAAAATAATTAAGTATATTGTTTAGATCAAATTGAAAATGAAAGATTAAACTTTTTATGGGGACTTTGCCATAAAGGAGACCTAACAATTAATTAAGCCTTAAAGGTTATGGAAGAGGAGAAATAAAATGAAGAAATTTGGGTTGGTTAATAGATTCAAGAAAAAACATAAAAATTAAAAAATTTAAAGAAATAATTTGAAGACTTTTCAAGAATTAATTAATATGATGTTTCTTTAGATGTTAACAATATTGATCTTTCTATAAGAAATATTGAAGATCAACTTTAAAACAATAAAAAATGGAATTTTGATTAAAATGTCAAATTAACATTGTAAAACATTGAAAGGTTAAATAATTTAGTTTCATAAAAGGATTAACTTGTCGTATAAAGAAATTTAGAATAATATAAAGATAGCTGTGAAAATTAAAATTATATTAATTATGTTCTTAAATATCAAAATTTGAGTAAGAGTATGTATTAGAAGTGTAAATTTTATAAAAAATTACAAGTGCTGAATAAAATTGAAAAAGTATATGCATCAAATTTTAATCATAGTGGAAACATATTAGTGACTGCAGTATCAGATGGGTTATAATTTTGGAAATTTTAAGATAATCGTTTTTAATATTAATACAAACTATTTACCGGAACACTTTAAGTTGGAATTTTGTTTAGTTAATTCTAAGACTTATTTATTACACATGATCTTATTGGTTAGTTTGGTATAGTAAAAATGATTAATGGAAATTGGAAATTGGATTAATTAATCCAAGGTCACTAAGATTAAATTTGTTCAATTATTTTATAATAAAATGATTAATAAATAATTACAGCTAGTTAAAAAAATGGAATAAAATTTTGGTATTTGAATAAATCTAATATTTGGAATTGCCTATTTAATTTTGAATTTAGCAGTTACAATTTATCGTATTTAAGTGGAAATAATGAACAATATCTAGTATCTGGTACTTTTGATGGAAATATAACTATTTGGCAGTATTAAGTTGTAAATTCTTAAAAAATAATTATTTAAAAATTTTAAAGATTGATAAGTGCTCATAAAAATATAGTAAATATAATAGCATTTATCAACAAATAAAAGTTTTCAAGCTTAAGCTACTAAAGCGAAATAATAATATGGGAATAATAGATATCAAATCTTTTATTCCAAAGAAAACAAGTAGTTAAATTTGATGGTCTTTAATACTGGAGTGTTTTTACATAAAAATTGATTTACCATAAAGATTTGAATGTACTATTTTGCTGTTCAGGAAATTAAATTAAAATATTAAAAATGAACATTAATGGAATATTTGAGATAATTACAGAAATTATTAAAGAGAAAGAAATTTATGCATTTAGTGTTACTTAAGATGGAATGATTTTAACATATTCAAATCCATTTTCTTAAAAATTAATAATAAAAACTGGATTTGAAATTTAATGATATTATTGATTAAGATATAAAATAGTATTGCTACTATATTTTAATAATATCTTTAATTTATCTCCTTAAGTTATTCTATTTAAAATTCTCAATTTATATCAGTTTACTCCTAATATCTTAATTTACATAAACATTTGATTTCTATTTGTATATATCATTATTTATTTTAATAGCAAAATTAAAATTTTCACTTAATAAAATAGCATTCCTTTTATTTTAAATAATAATGTAATTTTTTGAAACTGAAAAGTTTGAATATTAATTATGATATAGATAAAATCAAAAGATGCAAAATAATGTGGTCTTATTTTTTAAAAATCAAAAATTGTATAATAATTTCTTAGTGTTTATTGGTTAAAACAGTCTAATTTATCTATAAATATAATGTTTAATTGAAAAGATTAAAATTTTAAGAAAAATAACATTTTAAATTTATAAGATAGTTATGATATAGAAAAAAGATATGTTTAACAAAATTGAAATTGAAAAGGGAGATAAAAATATTTGATTAGTAATTTTAATGAATGATATTAACATATTAAATATTTTAATATTATCATAAAATTAATTAAATGAAAATAATGATAACCATTTTAATAAATTTACTTGTACCATCATTGTAATAATGCGGTATTGAGATAGTATGAAATTTAGTTACTGTTTAAGAGAATGTTACATATTACACAAGTTTGGGTGAAGTTTTTAGATGGCCAGCAGATTCTCTAATAAAAGGAAGTGGATTAATCTATAATTTAACAGAATCAAGTTTTATGTAGTATCATGCTGCTTTTTCTTAGATAGCTCCAGAGAAAAGTCATTAAGGATGTAATAATATATAAAATATGATTAGATTAAAGTGTTGTATATGCATTAAGAGCATATGATATTGCAAGTACAGGAGCATGGACAAATCATTTTGCATATTTAGAATTTGATCAAAATAATAAATAATATGACATTTATTATGCAATTGGGTAATAAGAATGATTAAAATTTAGATCTGCAATAGAAATGGATTAAACTCCATATTTTGAACGAAAAGTATAACTTACTAGAAATGGCTCAACATTATTAGATTGTTTTGATTTAGAATATATAAATCCAGAATTATGGTTAGTTGATTGTGCAGAGAGAAGTAGTGATACTAATTAAGTAATGAAGAATTATTTATACTTTGTAACATAAGATGATAGTCCTGATACAGTAAAAAGATAGGAAGTGCCTAATCATTAATAATATAAATAAATAAAAGGACGTAAGTTTTAATATCATGTATATTACAAATCAAATATGGGTTAAGATAATAATGGATTTGATGCTCCATAACCAAAATAACCCATAAGGATGCTTTTGAGAGGATAATAAGCTTTTAATTCTGAAACAGGTAATTAAACAATCTTGGATAATAATTGTTCTATTGATCTATTAATAAAAGTTGATAATGGAAGTATTATTGATACAGGAAATATTTTGAATAAAACAAGAATCAGTAATGATATAAAGAAATCTGTAAATTTTACATTGATTGATTTTAAAATAATGCCTAATGGTCGAGTCTATATTTTAGATTAGACAGAAGGAATTTATGTTTATAAAGTAACTGAAGATGGTGATTGGAAATACGATTCAACATTATAATTAAATGGAAAAGCTAAGGCTTATGCATTTGATGTAAATAATAGATTGTTAGAGGATGGAGATTCGTATTTACATATAGCAATATTATATGAATCAAATCTTATGACATTTATTAATGATAGAATGTAAAGAGGATTTAGATTACCATTTACAGCTACATATCCTGCATCAGTTTCTTTAAGTTAATAATATGCAGTAATAGTACATTTTTAGACTATTTATCTTTATAATACTGAGAAAAATTATTTATTACATAAAGAAATGTTAATCTCTTCAAATTATTTAGTGAATCCTTATGCACCAGATATAGTAATTGTATCTTAAACTATAAGTAGAAGATATGAATTAAGTGATGGATATTTAGAATGTTAAAATGAAAATTTAATCTAAAAAAACACACTTAAATTAACAGCTACTGATGGATATTAGATGTGTTAAACAATTATCAATTATTAAATTTTATAATAAGAAAATACTTAAGTTTTAGAATTAGGTCATAATCCATTTCCATCTATTATTACATATCCTGCTTTACCATTTAATTTATAAGATTTAGCTTCAGGACCAAATCTTTAATATATTACACCAGATATCGATCATAATGATGTTGAAGTTTAAGTTCATTTTTTATGGGAATTAGATGTTAAAGATATCTAATGGTTTGATGCTTCAAGTGTTGTCTATGCTGATGTCCTTATTGATCCACATCATACTAATTCTAATAAATTCTATTTATTTTTATAACATCAAAATAAAACAGCTATTATTTGGGATTGTTCATCTATCAATTATAATGATAATCATTGTACTTGTTAAATATAAGATTAATTTTAATTACCAATTACATTAAATAGATTTAACTCTCAATTTGATTGGTTTACATTTGATAAAGAAGCATTAAACTTTTAATTTTAAGTAAATGATTATGAAATAGAAATTTATTAATCATTTGAAAATAAACATACTAAAGTAGCCAATATAACTTATGAAGAAAAATAAGAAAATAAAATATCATCATTTACAGCTTTAAAAAATAATATTTTCATTGTTTTACATAATAAAAAAGAAGTTGATGTAATTTCTGCATTATATCCAACAATTTAAAAATATCCCATAGATGAAGAATTAATCAATAGTTATAAAATTAATTGTTCATTTACTCCTATTAAAGTATATGGTAATGCTTATATTAAAAGTGAATTTGTATTCATTGTAACTGAAGATTGTGTTATCTTTGGTGATTAAAGATATCATTTCACATTAATTGATGCATTTCAATATCCAAGAGGTTCTTAAATAGAATTAGCTATTGGATAAAAAACATTTTTCATTCTCACATCTTTAGAAGGATAAGATTCAATTAAAGAATATAACTATGAAAATCTCAATGATATATATTTGATGAAATCCTTACCTCTTTATAATAGATATAGATTACAATTACCATTAACAATAGATTTTGTATATGAAACTGGATTCTTGTTTGTTAGAGCATTAGATAAAATAGATAAAGAAACTGTATTTTTAATATATGAATCAAATATTCTTTATAGGAATTCCTTACATAAAGTATTAAAAACTCATTAATATATTCCAGATTCCTAAATAATTGAAACTGCTGCTTCTGGTTATGATTAAATGTTTGTTTATTTTAATGATTTAAAATAATAACATATAGCAGTTGTTTTGAGAGATTCTCTTATGGAAATCAAACCTACTCATTTGAGTGAAGCCTATACAACTAATTTAAATGCATCAGTGTTAATCTAAAATTAATTATCTGATTCTAAAGTTGGAGTAAAGTATCCTGTTAAATTTATTAACACTTAATCTATAGTAACATTAAATGAAACTAAACTTAAAAGTAATTAATATAAGTTTGAGCCTACTAATAATGTTTAATATATAAGTTTAATTAATAATGGATGGTATTAAGGACATGTTATAGATTTCAAAATAGATTGTGAATAATGTTAGAATCAAATATTAATTAAAAATCCTTTAACATAAGCAAGTACAGGAACTGATTTTGTTAGTTATAATATTATTGATGGAACTAAATTTTAAAATTCTATAGTTTATTTAGCATCTCCTAAATCGTTAATTTTTTAGAATGATGATGATAACCTTAGATTTGTCTATAAAATTGATATTGGAATGTATTGTTCTAAAATTACAACATATAATGAATATATTTTAGTATCCTGCACTAATGATTAATCATAGAATGTACTCTTTGTAGTTAAATGTGATTTATAATCTAAAAAATGTGATCAAATATAATCAAGTACTTCAAGTGAATTGAATCTTCATTAGGTTTCTAAAATTTAATACAATAATTCTATACTTTACATTCTAGACTCAAACTCAGCCAATCCTAATGAATATTAAGGAAGTTTACATGTTTATTAAATGTAATTGGATACATAATGGACTCTAAAAAATGAAAAGGTTTTTAATGCTTCGTATTTTGGTTTGAATTCTGATTCTGATTTCTTTATTTCAGATTTCGATATTGCATAATTTTAATAAGGCAACACACAATATCAAAAGATTTTAATTTAGACAACTGCATAAAAGACTTATTTCGTTTAAATATATTTAGATAACGGTTTAATAAAAGATAATCATAAAGACTCTTTCTCTTTAACTAATGCATTGAATGTAGATTTTGCTGTTAAATCTAATACCAAATTTTATTAAATAAGAGTGCTCTCTATTTCAGTTCAAACTAATTTACTTAATGTAACTGCACTTATCACAACTAACAATGTAGCACATTATGGAGTAATATTTTCATATGACATTTCAAATCCTCTTAATTAAGGTTCTCCTGTTAAGAATACTATTTAAATTCCTTTCATTCTTAATCAATATGGAATATATTAAGCTATCAATAAATTATCTGTTTATTAAGAATACGTTGTAGTTGCCTATACAAATTATACTCATTAACTCTTAGGTGTTTATAAAATGCCATAATTAACTCCAGATACAAATATAACAACTAAAGTGATCACTATAACAGGAGCCATTTTAGAAACCTTAGAGAATCCAGCTAGAATGTTTGCTATTGTATTACAATAAGATCCTATATCTAAAACTGTAATTTCTCATTCATATTTTAGTCTGCTATGTATTCAAATATTAAAAACGTTTAAGCATCCTCTAATTATGTACTTCTTAAATATGCTATTAATGATTATGCATAATTAATTATCTAAAATGGAACCTAAGTAAAATCATAATTTATATAATTGAAAATTGAAAATTGTTATAGTTCAGCTTAAGGATAATTTGAAATCATTAATTCATCAGTACCTCCTAAACCAGATGATGATGAAGAAAGCAGGTTTAATTTATTATTTTATATTTTAGTTCTCTACTTTGGCTTTGGATTCTTTTAATTGTTATAGGTTCCCTTGTAGTATTTGGTATATTAGGGTACATTGTATATAAGAAATTTATTACAAAAACTCCATATGTATAAGATAGTGCTAAAGTTTCTTTAATCAACTAATGAAAGTATTAATTAAAATTTAATCATATTATCAATTATTTTATATATATATAAGTTTACCTAATAAAAAAAGTATTTAAATAATTATGTTTATTATTTGTCATAAAACTATGATTAAAGGTAGATAAAATTAATTAAAAAATTTAAGAGTTTTTAAATTATGTAATAAAAAAGAATCATTCATATTTGCAATAGCATTAACATTTTTTATATGGGCATTAATCATAAATATTGAACCATTCTTAAATATGTTTCTCATGTCCTCCGTGTCTACACATTAAACATACAACATAGAATTAATTTTAAATTGGATTGTAACAAATTGAACATTTAGGATATAATGTTAAACAAGATAAACATTCAGGATTTGCTATAGAGTTACATTAACAATATTAAACAATTTGAGATTATTTATTCAATAGCAACTCTTCAATTAAAAGAGGAGAGTTTTTATTTTATAATTCCTTGATTTGATTTTCTATAATCATCCTTACTTTATAGAGTTGTTTAGAATTCAAGAAATTTCGATAGTCTTAAAACCATAATAATAGTTAAGGATCTTTATTTTCAAGTAAATAAAGGTGTGCTGAAATGATTCCAACTAATTGAATATCTTAGGTTTCTTCAAAATACAATTTTAAGCACTCAACTGATCTTTTCTCAACAGCACCATATATAATTATTTAATCAAGTGGTTTTTTTTTTGAAAAAAATTCATTCAATTTATTATTATCACAATATAATAAGGTTAAAATAAATCTATCATTAAAATGGAGTTTATTATCATCTTTTAGTATATATTCCTATTTATTAAATAAATAATATACCTAAAATTGTTTATCATCCATTCCAAAAAAATTTAATATTAATTACACATATGGATCAGCATGTTTAATATCCTTACACATCTATTGAATCTATAAGAAATTTTATCTATAGTATGCTAATCTCAAAGAAGCTTCTTTAATATTTTAAATTTATCTTGTATTACTTTAAGCAAAATTATACGATTTATTGATTCTATTTAAATATAATAATTAAATATACATATCATAACTTTAAGAACTGATCTAATTAATTGAGCTTAAATTATTTTCATTAGAGTAGAAGTTCTTATAATCATACTTATCTAAATTAGTATCAGATTAAATATTTATAGCAACTTTTACAATTGGAATAATATCTGGATCTAATTTACCTAGATCTCTAATTTTCATAAATGAAAAAGTGCAAATCAATATAGCAACATTACGAATTAAATTTTAAGATCTTTATTAATTTATTATTTATGTTTCTTCATTTTTTTCTAAATTTTCATAACTCAAAGTAACTCCATATGGTCTCAGTTAATTTTTTCTGCTTTTACTATAATAAATTTTTCGATGCCACATTTAAAAACAATCACTAGGTTCTTATAATTAATCTTTCTATTCAATAAGTGAACGAAAGTCATTTTTATTTTATTGTCTGTCTTTAAATTTCACAAAATATTTAAAAATGTCAATATAAATATTCAAAGGATCATCATCACTGAATTCAATATTAGTAATTTCTTAAGCATCAAAATAAAATTTTTTATTCAATCTATCCATAAATAGATCTACTAATTTTGAATCTTTGTTTGTATTACTTTCTTCTAATTTTTAGATTGGCTATTCAGGTTTATATTTTTCTAATAATTAATCTAATTCTTGTTTTGTAAATTGTTATTAATAGGGTAATTCAATATTTAAACCAAATTCTTTTTGCAACATTTACCTAACATTATAAAATGAATATGTTATTTCCTGTGTTTAAGTTTATGGATATGTTTCCTCAGGAATTGATTCTTAAATATTTGCTTAATTAATCCTATCTGGTATTGTAGTGCAGCTATTTGAGGCTGAATATTATTAAAGCCTAAAGTCGCCTTCACTTTTAGGATTTTTTATCATTCTTCTATTATTAAGGTTGATCAGATTTTTTATTAAATATTAATAAAATAACAAATATTAATTATCAGCAATTTACTTAGACAAATATATCCTTATTGAATATTAATACAAAGTCAAAACATACTATAAAGATTCAATCTATTAGATAAAAGAGTAAAAAATAATATATAGATAAAATTTTATTTTTATTTATTAATATTTTTCCATTAATGAGAGCCATTATAAAAACATCATACTTTAATTAACCAAAATAAACTAAGAAGCCAAAAAAGGCAGATCCTTAAAAAATTATAAAAGGTTTAGATAAATTGAATAATTATTATCTGAGAAATCTAGCAAGTGCCTATTAACCATTAATGATAAATATGATTTAACAAATGAAAAGAGAATTTTAGATTATTGAATTAGTATTAAATAATTTCAATATAAGCTTAGCAATAAAGTAAATAAAAGACATTTAAAAGAAATATTTTTAGCATGGAAAATATAAAGTCAACAGCCTCAACCATATAAATTACAATTACCATATAGTCCTCCAAAAAAGGATTTAAGTAAAAGAAGTTCAGGTAAAAAATCAGTTTAATCCAAAACCCCAAGAAATGAAGTTAAATTTTATACTCCAGGAAGAGAATCTTCAAAAAGTGTAATTTCAACTATCTCAAAGGAAGATGATTAATAATAATCTAATTAAATTGCTGATATTTTTCGATTAAGAAAATTTTGGAATAAATTTAAATTATTTGCTAATTTTTAAAAGCATTTAGCATTTAAATCTAGACATTTTAGAAATTTTTGTATTATTCGAAAATATTTTCATAAGTTATAAACCATAGTTCACCTTAAAAAATTGAAACTTGAAGGTAATTCTTAAATTTATTATAGAATTTTAGAAATCCAAACATTTTTTTACTTTACGAATATCTTTCTCAAAATGGTATGAATATGGTCAAAAGAAAATAAGATATCAATTCATTTTAGCAAAATTAGGTTAAAAATAAAAATTATTGTTAATGAGAAAGGGTTTAAAAGGCTTACATTTAAATAGTAAATAGAAATAATAACTTTAATCAACATAAATATCACACAATTCATAAATATAAAAATAATAATAGAAGAAGATCAAATTTATTCCTAAGAAAAATTGAAAATACTTTATATTTTATTTAATATAAATGATATACAAAATATTAGCAATCCTTCAGTTATTATTTTTATCAATCTAATAATGCTGTATTATAAGTCTTATAATTAGAAAAATTAACGAGTGAATACTCAATTTATGCAAGTGTTGAAGAAGTATATGAATGGAACATAAGAGAAACCTTTTTTTAAGGAGAAGATTTGGTTTTTTCTCTAGATGAAATGCCGTCAAAATATTTCAGCATCAGATAACCATTGTCTGAATTGGAACATCCAACAACACATAAAACATGTAATTATAAAATAAAAAATTTTAGATGGTGATACAATAATATCATTAAAGCCTTTTGTCAATTAATTAACAGGAGCATGGTTAAATAGTTTTGTATTTATAGAATAAGATGAAATATCTGTTGATATTTTTTATTCATTAGGGTATTTAAAATATCTAATTTAAGAGAACCAACTGAAAATAATAAGGTTCCTTCATTTGATAATTATATTACTGTACAAAAATAGGATCAAAATTTTAGATGTTCAGATGTTGATTTTCTATCTAAAACTAGATTTATAATAGATTGTAAAAATTAGAATAAAAATTACTTTGTGATAGTAGATACATCAAAAAATGTAACATTAATTGAGAATAATTAAACCTATGATGCACCATCCATTCGAAAATTATTGGTACATACTTTTAGTTATGACAATAATTCATTATAGTTGATAATAAGAGGATAATATTAAGAAGGCAAAGGGTCGCTTATTGAAGTTTTTTAATTTAAAGATGGGAATATTTCAAAAGATCCATGGTTAACACTAGATTCTGAAAGTTTAGCAATTTTATTAAATTAATAATCTACTTTTAATTTTGTACTTTTAGATATGTCAGTAGAACCTAATGGAGACTTATTTATTTTAGATTCATTTAATGGAATATATGTCTTAAAAATATTATAGACTTAAAAATGGTTAGTTAAACAATGGTCTAGATTAAATTATGAAGAATAAATATATGCTTTCGACTTTAATTATTTATTTACCTAAAATGGTTAAATAGCTTAATTGGTTTTAGTATATGAAGATAGAATTTAATATTTTTAAAATAATTAACCTAAATCTATATTAAAATTACCAGGAGATGTAAAAGGACACAATATACAAATAGAAATTAGTTAAAAATATATAGTTTTAAAATATGAAGAAAAAATATATATATATGATTAGAATTAGCTCCTTTATTCATTTATTGAAGATATTGTTGATATTATTATTATCAATCCTTATGAACCTGATTTGATCGAAGTTAATTTTTTAAGCACTCATAGATTTTTAATTAGTGATGGAATTTTAAGATTGTATTAATAGGATTCTAAAACAGACTAATAATATATAACACAGATAATTGCCAAATCAAGATCTGGAAGTAGTTGTACTGTTGATTTAAAAATTCAGATTGTTTATAGCAATGATACATAACTTTATGAAACTGGATACAATCCATTTCCATAAGCCTTAACTATTCCATCTGATCCAATAAATATTGATCTATTAGCAAATTGGACCAGACATTTCTTATCATCCATTAGAAGATTAATCATCTCAGAAAATTTATATTGATATTCAAGAAATGTGGAAATTAAAGACTAAGATATAATTAGATCATATTTTATTTACAGACATCTATGTTATGGATATTGAATCATTTTATCTAATATAATAATAAGAGTCAAAATATGCTTATATTTATCATTGTAAACATAATTAATTAAACAATGTTGAAACAGAATGTACTGAACTTAAAATGGTTTTATTCAAAAGCATTCTTACTAAAAGCACCTTTCATTGGTGGTTTGAAATTAAAAAGATTTTTTTTGTTATTTAGGAATCAGAAAATCAAATTCATTTATATAGTTTCGATAAAGAAACTACTTAATTTATAGAATAAGATAAATTAACATTAGATGAAAAGATTTTATCTTTTAATGTACTTGATAATAAAATGTTTGTAGTAATTTAAAATAAGATTTTAATATATGATTAATTTATCCCATTTAATTTAGTTTATATTATTTCTGATATTTCATAGCCAATAAGTGTTTTTGGAAATAGGTTAATTGATTTAATTTTTATTCAAACACCTCAATAAGTAGTGATTGGAAATTTTGCTCTATTATTAAGTGGTGGATCTTTTACTGCAATTAAATAAATAGACTTAATTGAGAAGGCTTAAATCAAAATAACAATAGGTAAAAACTATTTCTATTTAATTTAAAAATCAGAAACAACATTTTAAATAGATGAATATAACTATAAACATTTATAAATTATATACAAAACAAAAAGGCTTCCTTTATATAAATATTAAATATAAGATTCTATTGTAGCTGATTCATGTGAAGAATCAGGATGGCTTTTTGTAAGATGTTAAGATGGCAATTAAACAGTGATTTTGGTTTATGAACCAGGTGTTTTATCTCATCAATCATTAAAAAAAGTCATAAAGCTTGGATATATAGTATTACATTCAACAGTTGAAGTAGATGGAGGACTTTAAATGTTTTTGCACACTTCATAACAAATTTATTCAATTTTATAAGATTCTTTATTGACAGTTAAGAGTAATTTACATTCAGATAGTTATGTAAATAAAATTTAATCTGGTGTGAAGGCATTTAATGATTATTCTAACAAGAATATTTCATAATAAATATATTTTTTAGATACACATAGTTAACCTATTTTTTAGAGTTCTCAAAATCAAACTTTTAAAGTCAAAAAAAATAGTTAATCAGCATAATTGAATATTGATTAAACCTTTTATAATGGATAAATAACTAATATATAAATTGATTGTAAATCATGCTCTAAAGCAAAATTATAATCACCAATAATGAACATTAGTGATGGTCAAAATCTATCCTTTAATATTATTGACGGATTAATTTATGATGCTAATTATGCTGTCTTCTTAACATCAAAGTAGTTAGTATTTACAAAAAAGGATGGATAATTTAATAAAGTTTTTAGTTTAAATCTTTCTATTTTAGAATCAGGAGATGGATTATTTATTTCTGAAGATAAGAAATATCTTATAGTTTCTGTTCTTGCTTAAGTTCCATCTATTTTAATTATTAATTGCGGAACTAATTTAGAATGTACTATAGTTTCCAAGAATAGTGTTCCAAATTCAAATCGAATAAGTGGATTGTAATTATTCAATAATAATCACTTATTTATTCTAAATAGCAATCCTTAAGATTATACACAATTCAATTCATCTATTTAGGTCTATTATATTAATGCTGATAATACTTTAACCTTGAGTAGAAGTATCACAGTTTAATTATTAAACTTAAATTCATTAAGAATTGCTAGTTTTTAAGTTGTTAAGCACAATACCTTCTACATAATCTTTTTTACAGACTAACATTTTGGTTTAAGAATTAATTACTTTAAATTAATTGATTTAAGTTATATTCCAAAAAATGAATTTTTAGATTTGACTAAATTTTAACATGATCAATATTATATTAATTAAGATACAGAATTTTTAACAGTTAGATTAATTTCATCTGAAACTGAAGGAACTCTTTCAATTTTTAATTTATTAATATAGACAAATAATGTTGCTTAATATGTGTTCGGTATTCCTTTAGAAATAGGAAGTGTTCCTAATTTTATTCTTGATAAAATTAAGTTATAAAATATTTTGACTCCTTTTGGAACTTGGGCATCTATAAATAAGATTGCAGTATCTCTTAATTATGTCTTAGTACCATATCGATAAGGATAAGATGCAATAATTGTTATTTACGAATTGTTTAATAGCAATTCTACAAAAGCAATTACTAGTCATTATGCCTTATATGAGAACTATAAAGGATCACTATCTAATTAAATTGTTTTAATTATTGAGATAGAGTAAAATAATACATATTTCTTTACTAATTTAAAATATGATGAAGCAAGAGGAATTCATACTTTAATGAAATATTAATATAGATCAAATATAATGATAAGTTTTGATGATCTGACTTCAGTTGAAGAATAACCAATTCAAATTACAGTAAGTAATTATTATGGAAAATCTTCAGGAGTAGTGAATTTAGTTTATTTTGATGATAATAACGATGATAATAATGAAGAATCAAAGTAAGAAAAAATATATTAATTATTTTATAGTCATTCTTGGGTTTGGATTTTAATTGGTGTATTAGGTGGTATCATAATACTGATAGGAGTTATTTTTCTAATATATTATTTCTGGAAACGTAGAAATAAAAAAACTTTTGAATTCTTAATATGATATATTATATATTTACATAAAAAGATATAATATAATAATCAATTATCAATACTTGGTTCTGTTTTAAATCTACTTTTGCTACTAAATTCATAAACTGATTTACAAGCGCTAATTTAAAATGAATTTAAAGCATTAAATTTAAAATTTAACTTAAATTTTTTCATCAAAATATTTTTCATTTATTTATTAATAGGGGAAATTTTTTAAGTAAAATTGGATGGAGATCGAGTAGTTTTAATATTCTTCTCTTTAGAAAAGAACAAATCTTCAGAAATAGATTATTATGTGTTTATATTATTAGGTTTAGCTTTAGATTTATTAAATTTTGTTATGTCAAAATAACTTAAACATTTTGGTTAATTTGATCTAATTTCGTTTTTTCTAGGAGATTTAATTACAAACATATCTTTAACTAATCTTCTTTCAACAGGTAAGATAAGTGGTTCTACATAGATCTATCCTTTTTTCACTTCATCTTTTCTTTATTCAAGATAAGAAGTCATAAGTTTAGCTTTCTCAATTAATAATTTAACAATGTCTGGAGCATTTTTTCTAGCACTATTAAAATCTTCATATTCCATGAAATATAAAGTTGTATTATCTAATGTTTTACATGTATATTGTCGAAATTACATACCTTCTAAGATTTCTTCATGTCCTATAAAAGAATAATCAGACACTTAATATAAAGGTTATTATGATTATTTGATTTCTACTCTTCCTTTATATATCAATACAAAAAATTTAATTTATTCCCCTTCCCTCCATAATAATTATTGTGGAGGAAAGTCTATTTTATGAAAAAACTGTATAAATTTAGTTATTTGCATTCTTCCGACGTTAGGAAATAATTTAACAAAATAATCTAAGGTTTAATTCATTTCTAGAACTGACTTTTCACATAAAATCTTAAAATCCTTTTTACACATACTAATTAAAAAGATTTAATCAGATGTAACTAAAATACTAGCAGTTCTTGGTTTATCAGAAATAAGTGCAACATCTCCAAATGATTATCCAGAATAAAATTAAAAAACTTTCTTAAACATACAAACATTGTTCTAAAAATAAACATTTGAATTTGTTTATGCTAATAACACTTCAATATGAATTTGTTTTATAGGTTTCTTATTTTTCCAAAACATTTCATAATCGAAAGGTTATTTTGCTAAACTTATTTCTTCTCTTTCACCTTCTATTTCGCTTTCAGATCTTGGTACTAGAACAGCAACTTCTCCTTTTAGAATCACATAAACCTTATCACCTATGTCACCATAGTGAAATATAATGTCTCCATATTTATATTGTTCATATTCAAAATATTATCCTGATTGTATACAAAAATCCTCTAATTTTGTTCCTTCAGGACAGTTTCGTTTCATGAACTCTAAACTTGCCAAACCTGCAGAAACTTGTTCTAAAGAATGATCATCATTTAATTTTCCATATGAAGAATAATATTAAAGAGCTACTCTTAGATTAGCTTCATTTTTTCTTCTTTACGTTGTCATATCATTTTAACCTTATTACCCCTTTCCATTTTATTATGTTGACATTAATTTTTATAAAAACTTCAATAATATCAGTTTATAATTTAATATATGATCATTTATATACATCTTTCTTCATACATTAATACTTTTACACATACCAGTATCAAATATATATATGGTTTCCATAGTAATTTCAATAATTAGTTATGTTATTAATTTTCAACTTTACAGAATATATATGTTTTGATATAATAGATTATTATTATTTAATATTATATGATTATAATAGGATTTTTGTATTTAATGAATATTATAACAATTCAAATAATTATATTATTAATTGAGATCCAATAAATTATTAATGTATCTGAAAATGAGATTATTTAAAATTAATACCAAGCTTCTTTATTATTGTAAAAACAATTATTATTAAATAAATTAAATTTCTAATAAACTTTTTTAAGATTATCATTAACAATTATATCAATTTGAATCATATAATTAATTTTGTGTATTTTAAGATGTAATAATCCCTTTTTCATAATATTCGCTAATTTGTCTTACACTTTGATATGTTCGGATAACCTCCCACCTTTAGAATTTTGGGAAAATAGAAATACAATTCAATTTTAGGAGCGTTTTTGACAATAGGAACACTATTCTTTGCTTTCGCTTATTTTGTGGTTGGTGTATAAGAGTTAGTGGCTAAAGATTCACCAAATGTAATACAAACAGAAAGACAAGTAATTGAAACATCAGTATTATTTTGATATATCTAGCCATTTAAACTAAATAGAAACAACTTTACACTTGCTATAACATTAGCAGACCTCAATAGTCAACCTTTAACAACTATAAATAAGTTTTTTACTATCCAACTTAAAAATTGTTAAACCACTAGAATCTATAATGAGACAACCTAGACTTCAAATGTAACAAGAAAGTAAATAATATTTTAAAGTAGTTGTACAAATATCCCCTTAGAAGCTTGTACAAAAGATCATTTTTTATCTGAAACTTAAATTGACTATTTTTCCAGAATTAGATTAGGCTCTGTACAATGCATACAAAAGGATTATTGGGATAATTATCCACCTGTAATAAAAGTTATTTTATTATTTATAAAGATATTATAAGGAATTAAGACAAGCCCAATATATTCTTCTTTGACCGTGACTGTTTCAGTTTGTAAAAATTCAACTAATAAAACGGATTGTGCACCAATTGAAGATATTAAAAAGTAACTTAGTTCTGGATTTTATGCAGTTCATTTAAGTGATTCATTACTATAAATGAATAGAGCTGTAAATATGTCATTAGATGTCATAAACATTTAATACTATACATTTTCAATTACCACATCTAAAAATATATTTTAGTAATTTAAATTGATAGAAACCAAAACAGATTCTGGATTAGTTTTTTAGGATATATCTGATTAATAAGTTTTGATTTAAGATACCTTAAGAGAATCGACAGACTTATATAATAGTGATTATTTAGTTTTACATAATATAAATCTAAGCTCTAAGTATAGCGAATACTAAAGATCATATGTCAAAATTTAGGCTATTTTAAGCAGAGTTGGAGGCTTATATTAAATGATATTTTTAATATTAGCTGCTTTTTTAAAACCGTTAGTCCAATTAATGTTAGATATTGATATGGCAAATGAGCTTTTTAAATTTGGCTGTTAAAATAACAACAAAGATAAATCAATTATGGCTGATGATAAAGTGCTTGATATTAAGGCTGGAATCATCAGAAGTAGGAGAAAACTATTATCGCCAAGAGAAACTGGAAGATTAAATAGTGAACCTAATCAAGAAATTATTATGGTAATGAATATTGATTAAATCATTATTAGAATGAAAACATAAATGAAATTTTAAAAAAAAGAAATCAAATTGATCCCACAATTAAATAAATAATATGGATATATATTGGTTGCGATAGAGAAAAAAAAAAAATGTTAAATATTGCTAAAGAAAAATACATGGAGAAATTAGATTTAAAATTAATCATTTAGAAACTATATTAGATTGACTAACTTAAAGATATAATTTTAACAGAAGAATAAAAGAAATTATTCAAATATTTACCGAAGCCAAATATAATTTAAGATTTAGAAAAAGCTAAATGTTTAGATTTAAATAAGAAAAGTTAGTAATTGGAATCTAAAGCAATTTAGGAAGCATTTGAAGCATATGAAAAAGTGGTATCTTAAGGTTAAAAATCAGTGGTTAATTTATAACTAATTTAATCATTAGACCCAGATATTTAGATACTTTTTTAATCAATTTAAAAGAGCTAAGCTATGTAAAACTAATTCTTAAATGAACTACCTTTGAATTAATCTAAATTCAGATTGGAGGGTGGTGATTTAGCAGAATGCTAATCAATATATCAAGAATGTATTACTATTCCTCAAAAAATATATACATAATTTCCTAAAAGAATGAATAAATAAAATGAAACATAATGATTTATAATACAGATGCCTATATTATATAAATTCTTTTGTTTAATATGTTTTTTTATATATTTTTTTCTAAAAAATCCGAACCTTTGTTGAAAATTTGAAATCAATTCACCTGTTTATTTAAATCCTATTGTTTAGTAATAATTGTTTTTATATACTCATAATAATAATGTAATATGTCATTTGTAATATTTAAATATTATATACACATCAATATTTATGAATGTAAAAACATATATTGAATAAAATATCATATCATCCTAAAAGAGGATCAACACCCTTTTTACCAAACTTTTTATAGGCAAACCATCCTCCAACTCCTAAAATGGCGACACCAAAAATAACAATCAA